GGAAGGAGGCTGGCAGGTCTGTGACAGGAGGGGTGGGGGCTGACACCTTCCCTCTTTGCACCTGTGTGCAGAACACCCTTCCTGCCAGTTCTCTAAAGACATGGGACAAGTTGGTGGCTTCTTTCTGTTCTCACCCCATGTTCCTCCCCACTGGCCAGACACATTCCAGTTGTAGCCATCTCCGGTCCCACTGTTTTTAAATCAGAGAGAGGCTGCCTCACGCTGACTCCATTGCCTGGAACAGGACTTCTCCCTGCTGGTGCCCTAGCAATGTGGGGCGGGAGCCCATGGGGCAGGCTGAGCAAAGCCCTGCCATCTCCTGCCCACCCAGCCTGTGACTAGTGTGACTGTGTCACCAGAGGCTCAAGCATCTGTTGCTTCATCCCCCAGCCTTCCACATGGAGGCTGAGGCTTTGGAGTTACCAGATCTCCGCTGCTTCCCCAGTCAGCCACACTGTGGGCGAGGTGATCCTCTTCTCAGACTGCAGCTCTTTCCCCCATGGGAATGCCTCTGGAGCCCAGGTCTGGAAGCCTCCCATGTTCCCATCTCAGGCCCAGGCTGACGGGCCTAGCTCCCATGGGTTTCTCTGTGTGTTAGGGGCAGGGCTACATCCTGTGGTTTCTTTCTGGGAGAGTGAGGCAGAGGCTCCCCCATCTTCTCCGGCCTCTCCTGTCCCTCCTGCCTGGCCATGGCCTCCCTAGTCCTGCTGGCTGAGCCCTCATACCTGCCCCGGATGGACGTGGTTGTTCCATGTCCCAGCCTCTGTCAACACTGTGACATCTGGCCACCTCATGAGTTGGGGGCAGGCACAGGACTGAAGTCAAGGCCTGGAGGACAGTGCTCTGGGACTTGGTGGAGGTCCTCAGAGTGGCATTTTGTCTGCCCAGCCCCTGACATCCCAGTGTGTGCTCTTGCAGCTCTTCCAGGATGACTCCCTGGAGAGGCCTTGGAGTGGAGGTGGGAAGTTTGGGAGACTGGACAGGCTGGTGGCAGTGGAGAGGCTGCTGCCATGAGAGTTGGTAGGGATTGACCATGGTCACTGAGAGGGTGGAATGGAGTTGAGCTGTGGCCCATCCTATCAGAATGAGTGGGAAAGCAGTGTGGATGGCTGAGTTGGCGGTCACCTAGATTGGGTGTCAGTGGCCAGAGGCAGGTGGCAGAACATGTGTGGGGAGAAGGCTCCAGTGGTCCAGTGGTGTGGGCACTGGGGACATCTGGGGAGCAGGGCCAGGGGAATAAGTGAGAGGGAGGGGTTCAAGAGGGAGCTGGACTGAGGAAGGAGACTGGGGGGTCCCCAGGGACAGCAGTGGGGGGAGCCACGTTCTCCATCAGACACTGGAGAAGGGCAGCTGGCTGTCAGGGCACAGTCCTTGCTGGTGGCCTGGGTGGTTGAGGGCCAGCTTGGTCCTGGCCTCCAGAAAGGTCCTAGCCAACCCGGTGATGAGGAGAGGGAGGGGAGGAGGATGTGTAGCTCAGGGGTAGAGCATCTGATTGCAGATCAAGAGGAGAGGAAGGGATTTGGGGCCCAGGTTACAGTCATAGGTGGGTCTCTGCATCTCTGCTCCCACTCACACCACCTCCAAGGCTGTCTTTGCCCACGGCCATCTCCTTGGGCCCCCATACTGGGCCTCCAGGGACAGTCTGCAGCAGGGTCAGCCACCACAGATGGTGTGAGCCTCTGCCCACTGTGAGTGGCCATGTCCAGTCTTGTGTCCAGTGTCCTGTCCTTCCCCCAGTACCTCTCAGCTTCTCCACTCTGTGACCCTCTGTGGGTTCCCCATCTGCCCCGGACCTCAGGCTCCCGTCTGTTAGATGGACATCCTGAGGTTACCTTTCCCATGCAAGGGCTGGTCCTGAAGAATCCAGGCCAAGCAGAGGTGCCCTGTACCTGGGAGTCCTCCTGCCCTCAGGCCTGTCACCTGTATGTACCCAGGGAGTGAAGAAATCCCCTGAGGTTAGCCAGTTCACACAACCAGGAGTGATTCAACCTGGGTTAACCTTATGGATATTGTGGGGCCTCCCTTGATACCTGGGCAGCTACAGGAAAAGGAAATGGATGTCTGAGAAATCAGTTCTGTCTCTTTGGGAAGCTATTTGTCTTAGGCCTCAAATTTCCACACATGCTGAATGGAAGTCCTGAAAAAGAGGCTTGTAGCCAAAAGTGGTAGTGCAGGCCTGCAGTCTCAGCACCCAGAGAAGCTGAGGCAGGAGCTTCTCAAGTTTGAGCCCAGTCTGGGCAACTTAGTGATTTTTTTTGAAACAGGGTCTCACTATGTAGTGCAGGCTGGTCTTGACCTCAGTCTGTGTCCAGGCTGGCCTTGAGCTCATGGTGATCCTCTTGCTTTAGCCTCATGAGTGCTGGGATTACAGGTGTGCACCACTGCACTAAGATGATTTAGCAATATAAGACCCCAACTCAAAAGAAAAAACGTAAAAGGAACTGGAGATGTCACTGACTGCAAAGTCCTTGGGTTCATTCTCAGTACTGAAAAAAAAAAAAAAAAAGATGAGGGAGAGAGGGAGAGAGGGAGGAGGAAGGGGAAAAGGAAAGGGAAAGGTAAGGGGAGGGGAAGGGGAAGGGGAAGGGGAATTGGAAGGGAAGAGAAAAAAGGACTGCAGAATCAGGGCTGTGCCAGCTGTACCTCAGGGTCCGGAGCTGCCCGGCCCAGCTCTGGGAACCCTTCTGCCTGCTATGTGTCCTGGCACTTGGGCTGGGCAGTAGGGAGCCATTGACCAAGGGAGACTCTCTGGGTCTCTGTTTGATTTCCAGTGTCACAGGGAGGAGGTTGGCTGTGTCCTGAGTGGGAGCTGGATCAGGAGATGGGGTATTTCTCCACTCCATGAGAGTCCAGGGGACATCAGAGCAGCAAAGGTTTGTGGGAGCCCCTCAGCCCTCCCCGAGACCCTGTGCTGGGTACAGATTAGGTCCTGGAGTGCTGGGGGCCAAACTACTCCCTCCCTCCCTCCCTCCCTGGCTCTCCTTCCCTGGCCTTCCTTGAGGGCCTTACAGCACCCCTTTTTCCTTCCCTTGAGCCCTGGAGGGAGCACTTGGCTGAGCAGGCCAGGGTGGAGGGCTTCTTGAAGGTGGAGATGAGTGTAGGCAGAGCCAGGCTTCTGTGAAGACCCTGCTGCCCACTGCAGTGTGGAGCCAGCAGTGCAAGGGCTGGTCCTGGGAAGGCCCCTTTGAGCAGGCATGAGTGGTGAGCACTGGGCGGCTCTGTGGTTGGACCCAGTCTCTAGGTAGGCTTCCCTGAGCTGGGCAGAACAGGCTGGCAGTGCCATGGTCTGGAACCCCTATGCAGGCTCAAGGCCAAGGGGAGCCCCTGCTGGCATTGCCTGGCTGCAGGTGCAGGGCCACACCTTGCTCCGGAACCTGTGAGCCCATAACTCACTGTTGTCTCCTGTGGCAAAAGTTGAGGGAGCTGAGAGTGCCTGACCCAAGCACAGAGGAGGCAGGTGCTTGGGCAGGAGAGCTGGCAGTGTCTACACCAGCAAGGACTTCCTTGTCTGCCCTGCGTGGCCACAGGGAGCAATGCCTGGTGCCTTAGTGATGGGGACAAGCTGGGGTTGCAACTGTGAGACTTGAGGAGCGTCTCTTTTCTACTCCAGATCCTAAGTCTGTGGGAGAGAGCACTAGGGTCCCGTTTCAGAGCATCCAGCGTGCCATCATAGGGAGGCCACCTCAGAGTACAGGGACCTCTCTCAGGTGGAGCCCCAGCAGCTCCTGCTGCCATCGTAGGAGATCAGCCAGAACAGCAGGACTTGAGTGGCACCATCCTGCTAAAGGCAGAGCTCCAGTTCCACCTCCCAGCCCCCGGTGTCCCTCAGCAGGCCTGCAGGGCCAGGAGGCACCCTGCCCAGCACTGCATGGCAAGCCCCCGAGGCCCAGGAACCTCCCAGGAGGTGAGGAGGGGGATCTGAGACGAGTGCTTGGGCCGCTCCCAGGGCTAAGCTGGCTTCTGCCTCTCAGGGGATGGCAAAATGCTTAGCCCCTCAAAGCAAAGAAGCCCAGCCCAAGCCCAAGCCCAAGGAAGTGATTTATTGACTTAGTTACAGACATCCCCTGGCAGGTGGGGATGTGTGAAAAGCAAGTAATCACCTAGGACACCTCTGTCACTGTGCGCTCACACCTGCGCCCACGCTGACCACATCCACAGCAGGTGGGCCCCAGCCCACATGCACGGGGACACTCTTTGGCGGCTCAAGGATACCCAGAACAGGGACACCAGCAGGAGGTCCAGGAGGCCCAGGAGGGGAAACAGCCAAGTGGGCTTCAGTTAGGTAGTCTGCGCTGTCAAGCTCCCAAGTATCCCTTCATGTCCATGGCCCTCACACAGTTGGGAGAAGTGGTGAGGCTCGGAGCTGTGTGAGGCGGCCTTGCTCCCGCCTCAACGTAGAGTCCATTCTCAACGTAGACAAAACTGCTGGGTGCAGGGATGGGTGAGGAGGCCTGGGGGGGTGTGCATCTGGGATTGGCATGCGGGAAGGGCAAGGTCTAGTGCCCCCTGGGACAGCAGCTGGCAGAAATGGGACATGTCCAGAGTGGTTGGGCAGAGGTGGGGATGGGATGGAGGAGGCAGAGAGCAGCCTTCAGAGGAAGGGAGGAGGAAGGAAAAGGAGGCCAAGTGGAGGCCCTCTTGGTCCAGGCCCCCATTCCAAATGCCCCACCCCCACTCTTCCACCTATCCTTACCATCTGGTCCTGGATCCTGGCAAGGGGGTGGCACTGAAGTTGAGGGATAGACCTGAGAGAGACAGAAACAGTCAGAGGCTGCATATGTATAGCCCTGGCCTGTGACCTTTGATGGGGTCCTGTCTCACCAATGCCTCCACTGTGAGCGTAGGAGGTGCAGGACAAAGACGAAGACAAGCAGGAGGCCCCCTGAGGCCCCCAAGAAGCTAGCTTGCAGAAGAGGGGCTGGAGATGGGGCTGGGAGCCCTGGAGACAGAGAGAAGCATCAGACAGGTGCCAGGCTGGGACCCTGTCTAATCCCTGCCTCTCTCCAGCCCCACCTTGGTCTGAGCTCGCCAGAGGATGCCCACAGGCCACGTGGGAGCCCTCAGGGAAGGTAACAAACTTGCAGCAGAAGGTGATGTTGGCCTGGGGGCTTTGCCCCTCAGCCCCCTCCAGGGTGAGGGAGATGCTGCTTTCATTCAACCAGCGGGCCTGGAGGGCAGGGGCCAACTGGTGCACTCCGAGTTGTGGGTGCAGCACAGCCAGCGGGGTTTCTCTGGTAATGTTTAGCCCTGACCAGCTCACAGTCACCAGGGAGATCAAGCCGGACCCCAGGAACCCACAGTGGATAGTGAAGGTCAGGAGCTCGGTGGACGCCGTCTGCACTTGCACTTGCACCCACGCCATGGGGGCTCCTGAGGAACAGGGTAGGAAGGTCGGCAGCTGTGTACCCATGCTCTACAGCTCTGCCTCTCTCCGGCCTCCTCACTCACCTGCACAGATGCGCAGCGTCAGCAGTGCGCAGAGCAGGACCAGGGGCATCACTCCTGCAAGGCCCAGGCTGTCTGGGCTGCTGCAGGGCTGGCCTCCGTGTTCAAGTTATCAGCAGGCTGAGGGACTGGGCCCCCCACAGCCCAGCCCCACTTCCTTCTCTCATACCTCCAGGTGGACACACAGGGTGACAGATCCTCCCTCTTAAAGTGACAGTGACAATTCTCACTTTTTACCCAAGGGCTGGGCTTCCATGTGACCTTTGGGGTGACTAGTTTTCACCACCACCGTGGTGCCAGCTGTGCCATACCCTGGGCGTGAGAGGTGGGCCAGAGGTTCTGCCAGGGATGCTAAAAAAACAGCTCCTTCCTGGGAGGGAGGCACATGGCTGCTCAGGCACAGAGACTCGGAGCCCTCACCCCACACCCTGCCTGCTAAGTGGGAGAAAACACGTAGACTCAGGAGAAGCAACAAAGCCCACAGGAGGCCACGAAGACCAGGCCCAGTGTGATCCAGCACACATCTGGGGTGGCCTCTGACTCTGTTCTAGCCAGCTTTCCCACATTTAAATCTGCCACCTGGCCTCTATCTGTGGCCTGTGGCGCACACACGGCTCCAGAATGCCCGCACTAAGCTTCCTCCCCCCTCCTCTAGGCCCATTGTACCCACTTCCTGCTGGCCTAAAGCAGACTCCAGTGCTCTTTTGTCACCTCTACCCATCGGGACATCTTGCCTGCTTCCTGTGTCAACCAGCTGACCACATCTTATCACTCCCACCACCACCACTACTGCCATCTCCTCCACACCATCCACCTGGAGGCAGCAGATACTGAAGAATTACTCTAACATCTCCCACACCTCTCTTGGTCTCCCTAATGCGGCTGTCCACACAGCCTACACGACCTCTGGGAAGCCCTCATTGCACAGGCCACTGCCCTCTCCCTGGTCCATGGTCCTATTTCCCTCACAGCCAAAGTTTCAAAGGCCCTCCTTGACCTGGCCCTGCCTCTCTCCCTGTCCTCCCTGCCTTCTTACCTCAGCACCCCACCTGTTTGTTGAATTTGGAGGTGACAAGGACAGGCTGATCTCTGTCTGACAAGGTGTGGGTGGAGAGGCAACAACAGACCCCCTTGAGGCCCTTAATGTTTTTTCTTCCCACAAAGTTTGCCTCCAAGTCACTGTCCTGAGGATGTCCTCTGCAGAGCACTGCTGCTGTCCATGTAGTGGCAGGTGACCTTGTGCAGGGGCAGCATGCTTGTGTGTGGTGAGCCTGAATCCGGGTCAGCATCAGAGCCCAGCCCCCATCCTAAGGACTGTTTGTGCAGGTGTCAAAGAAACTGGAGAGCTGGCCTGGTCCTGAGTCACATGTAAATTCTGACATGCTAAGTCAAAAATTCAGCATTTGAGGTCAGAGGATGTGGCTTAGTGGCACAACACTTGCCTAGCATGCGTGAGGCTCTGGGTTCTGCTGTGAAAGAAAAAACAACAAAATTAAATATTCAGCAAGTCCAATCCAATGGTGTTCACTGAGTCAATCTGGTTGTTGGGCAACTGTCACCTCACCCCTTGCCCAGGCCTGATGAAGTAGCCTTCACAGGCACCCAACCAGCGGGGAGTTCAAGCATTTGGCCACCGGGCATGGCCTGGTCAGCATGATCTTGGCTCTCTGACCTTCTCCAAGGCCCAAAGCACTTGCCTGCCCTTTGTCAATTTCTGTACTTCTGTGTCCACCCAGCAGGTAGGAGGCCTATGCAGAGCGGACTCACCTCAGTATGGCCTAGCCAGGGCCCCAAGAGGGCGCAGGTCGCCTGGAACACATGGGGTTGCTGGCCATAGCCTGTCTAGTTAGAAGGCACTGTCTCCCCCTGTGCAGATCCTGCCTCCTCTGCAAGTCCCACCACCTCCAGGAAGTTGTCTCAGCAGTACCTCCTTCTCGGGCAACCTAGTGCCTTAGGAGGGCAGGGCTCCACAGCCAGGCTCTCGACAAACGTGGGTAGGGGCCAGGTGTGGGTGTCTTTACAGGATGATGCCAAACCTGGGAGGAAGTCTCTGGTTTTTGACTAATACCTGTACAAGTACAGATGGGGAACTCACAATTTATTCATGCGATTAAAAGTCAGGGCACAAAGATACTCAACAAAAATTCTCAGTTATTTTCAATCTTATAAATCACCATTGTTCTCATAGTTAAGTTTTCATTGGGAAGATCCAAACAATATAGAAAAGAATCACCATTTTAATAGTTGATGGTTAAAGCTATCAATTTTTTACTTTACCATTTCTGGATTTTGAAGATTTAGGAAAGCTAAGATTAATAAAAAAATTTTGGTGTTTTTGTATAACTCTATGAAAAGTTCATACTTGGCAAATGAATACTTTTTTGGTACTGTGATATAAACCCAGGGACTTACCAGTGGGCTATATCGCCAGCTTTTTTTTTTTTTTTTTGGTCTTTTAGAGACAGTTTCACCATGCAGTTTAGGCTGGCCTGGAACTCACTTTGTAGCCCAGACTGGTCTCCAATTTGCAACGATCCTCCTGTCTTAGCCTGCTGAGTGCTAGGATAACTGGCATGCACCACCATGCCATGCTCCCTTTTGTCTTTTTAACTTTTTGAGACAAGGTCCTACTTGGTTTTTCAGGCTATCCTCAAACTTGCAGTCCTTCTGCCTCAGTTTCCGTGAGCATCTGGGATTTCAAGAGTATGGCCTTGTAAGTGAAATAAATCAGAAGTGGACGTGTAAATACTGCATTGTTTCTCTGGTGTGAAAAACTGGAAGCGTAAATAAGGACCAAAATATATAGTAAGTATTGCAAAATAGGAAGAAAATGTTCAGGGGGGAGGGGGGGAGAAAAGAAGGGGAAAAATAGAAACAAAGCTTTTTAAATGGGGAGTGGAGGCGGGGCTGGAGGGGAGGAGAATGAGAGAAAAAAGAATCAAGCTTTAGCATGTGCAGGTAAATTCTCTATGATGAATCAAATTCTCTATGAAGAATGTGATTATTATGTATATCTAAAATGTATCAATAAAATCTGATTTTAAAAAAAAGTATGGCACCATACCCAACTCAATAAACACTTTATCTAGAGACGTAAAATATCTGTATACCATTTTAAGTGGCGAGCCAGATGGATGCAGGCCATTTATTGATTAGGCTGTTTCAAAATGATCAGAAAATGATTTTGTAACAACTCTTACTAATAGGTCTACTTCCTGCTTCTCTTTGGTGTCTCCATTGATTTGATGTTTGTGAGGTCCATGTCCTTTCTCAGAATTTGTTGGCTATTTCTGAGCAATCTCCACAATTTTAGCTCCAGATACACAAGAGGCCAGAGCCTAGCAAATCTAAGCCTTGTCAACAGGCCTGCATTGCTGCCCATCCGGCCTGAAGATATAGACAAGACGGTGCAGTTCTGGCAATGGTCACCTCTTGGGTGAACAAACGCTGGAACATTGTTTGATGAAGTCCCTGTAGGACAACCTGGGGCTGCTGCACTAAGGAAGCCCCTGTGGTCAGCCTGTTTCTGGGTCTATGAGCTCAGAAAGAGCTGCAATTTCAGAACTCTGCAAACTTACATAAAATGACTTTACTTCCCACACAGCTATACTCAAGCAGCGATGATGCGATCTGCTTCTCAGGGTGACTGAGAGAATGAAGTCTGTTATCGTAGGTCGGATGCTTTGCCCAGCCTGGGTCAGGCATCAGCGGAGGCTACGGACCATTCTTGTGCATGAGTTTCCTTGAGTTTAGCCCATTCTCTCCAGGACACTGGGATCAATTTTCTTTGGAGCTTGTGTGGAAGAGCAGACGACACACAATGCCATCTTTATTGTACTGTCGTGGTAGGCTGAGTGAATGTCAACTTCCCCACCCCAGTACAGCCGTTTCAGTCTAGACACTGCTTTTGTCAGAGGCCTTGGTCGGGGAAGCAACCGCCTCCACCGTGCACAGCCCCTGTTCCTCCAGCTGGGTCAAAAGCAGGCAAAGCCTGGATAGATAATTTGACAAACAGCTCCTGAGACCCAACACATGCCTCTTGCAGGCCTTATCTCTCCACAGAGAAAGTAGCATGGCTGTAAATATTCAGAATGTTTTTGAGATCATAACCAACAGTGCTTTCACTCTGTATTTTTCAGCCTTCCTTTCAAGCAGAGCTGTCTCTGAGAAAGACATGTGATCTTGGTGGGGCTGTGACTGGGATGGGAGAAAGGCAGACAGTGTTGGCCAACTTTCTGGATTTTAGGTTCAAACACCAGCTTCCTTATGGAATCTGAGGGAACTCATGGTTCAGATAAAATGTTTGTAAGAAGCTAGGATGAGAGGAGAGCTTATCCCCCAAGCCCGCAGAGGCCCCAGCCTGGGTGGAAGAGGGCAGTCTGGGCAGTGGTAAGGACTGGGGCGCTGGCAGCGAGGCCGGGAAGATTCCTATGGCCACGTCTGGTACATGAGCTGTCGGGGCTCATGCTGTGTGGGCAAAGGACCAGAGGCAGCCTCCCTCCCTCCCATGCCTTGGCACTTGACACTCGAGACAACCTCAGGGAAAATGAAGGAAGCTGGAAAAATCGGGAGTTAAATTTTCCACCAGCAGGGCTGGAGAATAGTTTGAAATTATAGAGGAAAACAAATCATGGTCTTGGCCATCTGAAATCATTACATTTATTTTTATACATTCTAAATGCTGGAAAAGGCTACTTGTCTGATGCTTGCAATTACATTTTACTTTTTATCAAAGTGGTATAAATAGGGGCTGGAGAGATGGCTCAGTGGTCTAAGGCACCTACTTCGAACAAACTAAGCTAAGCAAAGCACAGGGACCGCGGTTCGATCCCCCAGCACCACATGCCAGCCAGCTGCACCCCCCTGGTGGGCTGAGCTGGCCACCCCCCACACACACAATAAATAAATGTTAAAAAAATTTAAAAAAAATTTAAAAAAAAAACAAAGTGGTATAAATAACAAGTAACTGTATATACTATATGCTAAATCTGAGTGATTCACTTGTTTTTTTTACATTCAACAATCCCTGTATGAGGGAAATAACATGTCTAGGGTAAAAAAGCTTCTAAACAATGAAGCTGGATTTAAACCCTGACAGAAATTTTAGCATCAGAACCCACAATATTATCCACTATGCTGAGCTTCCTCTCCCAGGTAAAAAAATCAAAATTGAAGTAAAAGGCAGTATCAACAAACAGCAATTTTCAGTCCCAGCCATAGTGATGCTGGGTGTGGACTGAGTCTCTCCCTCTCTAGGCCAGGCCACCTCCTTGTTCCCACATGACCTCAGTGCAAGACACTCCTTTGGCTTCTCACTGTATCATTTGATCCCTTCACTGGTTATAATTTATTATCACATTAAATGCATTTGGGCTTCCTTGAACACTAACATCTATTGTAGTCTCCCTGGGTTTATCACGGGGCAGTTGTCTATTTCTCATCTCCCTCCTGACTATGGATCTATGTGGTTTCTCTGTGTTGTCCTGATCCAGCACACACTGAGGGTTTCAGTGAATTTGCACTCGGCTGACTTGTTTTATGAATCATTCTGAGATTATGATACAGATATTCCTCATTTAACAACCTACCTGTTTAGTGGCTGTTCAGACTTATGACCAACATGTGTTGTTCTAACGACCTTTTTTTTCCTACAGTTCTGCATGTTATCTGTAGAACCTTAATTTTAAATTTTATTTATTTGTGTGTGTGTGTGTGGCCAGTTCAGCCCACCAGGGGGCGGGGCTGGCTGGCCTGTGGTGCTGGGGGATTGAACCGTGGTCCCCGTACTTTGCTAAGCTTGTTCTAAGTAGGTGCTTTAGACCACTGAGCCATCTCACCAGCCCCGAACCTTAATGTTTTATACACCTTGTCTATATGGTAACTTTTGCTGACTGTGTAGTACAATACTACAGTTTTGTTTATTGCAATAATGCATGTAAAAGTTGCACAAATAAAAGCAGTCAGCAAGTTGGAGGATTTTCTGACCACTTTGTTCTGCACCTTGTAATGTCCATACCATATACAATTCATTTAAGAGCCACTCATTTAATGACCTACCTTACAGGGACTGAACTCTTCATTAAATGAGGAATGTCTACATTACACCCTGACTGAGGAAAGGGACTAAAGAGCTCAAGGAAGACTTCCAAATGTCTACATGTGCAAAGGAACTTTCCCCTCCTGCTACTGTTTCCCCTCACACAGAGGCATAGATTCTTTTTTCATCCTGTAACCTCTGAGCTAAGAATCCTGGGGTTCAAAGATGGGGTGAGTTACCTAGTAGCTAAAGATTTACTCAAAAATCTGGTAAGAAATTTCTTCACATTAAGTCAAGAGAGGACATCAACTACTCACCTCTGGCAGCACCCATGATCATACAGGCATTAATATAAGATCTTACTGAAAATTATTTTTATTTTTTTGGTAACAGGGATTGAACTCAGGATCTTGTGCTTGCTAGGCAAGTGCTTATGCTACTGGCCTATTTCCCCAGCCCTAAAAATTACTTTAAAAGAAACACTTATTGAGTGTTGAGCTAACAGTATTGGCACAGCAGTACCAGCCTCTTTAAAGCATTGATGGGCAGCATTCATCAGGTTGTACAGAGGCTTCTGTGGATCTACCTGAGCTGGCTTGAGCTCAGGTCCACCCTGGCCTGTGCCTGTCTCAGCCGGCAGGGGGCAGAGCTGAGCTCCTCACAATTGAGCAGGAGACCGCAGGTGATGAAAAGACATCTACTGCCATGCATGAGAAATGGTCATTTGTAACTTTTTTTCTTTTTTTTTTTTTTTTGGTACAGGGGATCAAACTCAAGACCTTACACTTGGCAGGCAGGCATTTATGCCACTATCTCCCTGGTCCCATTTCTAACTTAAGATGAAAATAAAGTTTTATTGTCACTGGTATCACCTTTGAGTCCCAAGTGTCATTTCCTCTACCATGACCCGCAGCCTGGAGACACACAGGCAAACTCCCAAGTAATGAAGCTTACATGCCACAGGATGTACTAGCTTTGGGGGGTCCCAGTGTGAACTCCCCATCAGAATATGGTCATCTGTATCTGGAAATCACTCTGATCCATTTCCAAGTTTTCCAAGGGGAGTCCAGTGGATTTTGAGCCCCCCTATTAAAGCACTAATGCAAAGTATTTTATGGATTTTTATGTTCTGCATGTTACAGTGGAAGTTCGTAAAACTATGTATCAAAAATACCTTTCACTCAGAACTTCAGAAAGTACTAAACCAAGGTTTAAGAGAGTTAGGCCAGTGAGATAGCTCAGTAGCTTAAAGCACTTACTTAGGCAAGTTTAGGCAGATGCTGTGGTTTGATCCCCAGAACCACATGCTGTGCCAGCCCTGCCCTCACAGTGGGCTGAGCCAGCCCCCCCCCCAAAAAAAAAGAGCAGAAAGGTACTTTAGACTGTTATTAATCAGCAAATATTTTATTACTATTTTTAAACATATTTGGTTGTTACAGGGTCTAACTATGCAGGCTGGACTAATAAGTGATCCTCCAATTTTCAGCCTCCCCAGCACTGAGATTAAAGTCATATACCACCATGTATGGCCCATGTGGCCTCCCAAGCCTGCCCTGGGGTGAGGCTGACACTGCATGTGGTACCAGGGATCAAACCACACAGGCTCTGTAGACCGCTGAGGTATCTCGCCAGACCCATAATTAGCAAATATTTTAAAGCTTATTAACTCATTTCCAATGACTTAATGTTTGTATATTTTAACTAATAAAGATGTCTTTTGTAGTCACATGACTCTTAGGTTCTGATCAAGTCACCATGGCAAGACAACAAATCCCTCTAGAGTTGATGGTGTAAACCACCACTATCTTCTTGTACTCATGGATTCTGTGGTTAGAATTTGGGAAGGGGACAGAAGAGATGGTTCTGTTCCCCTGTGCCTGGGTCTTACCTAGTGAAACTTAAGAGCTGGGGTTGGAATCACCTGGGCCCCATTTGGAAGCCTGGCAGTTGTTTCTGGGCATTGCCTGGAGCCTCAGTGAGGGCTGTTGTAGTACCTGCTCACGGCCTTGCCGTGTGGCTGCTCAGGCCTTCTCACAGCACGCTGGCAGGGCTCCAAAACTTACCCACTCATGAACTTGGAAGCAGAAACTGCAAGTACCCTTATACTCTGAATCTGCAAAGTGGCACAGCATCATTTCTACTACCTTCGATTAGTCAATCCCAGAGTCCATATTCAAGAGGGAGGACCTAAACCCATACCTCTTTGGAAAATGTTAAAAGAATTTGGAGAGCATGCTATAAAATTCTGCAAATTCTGAGGCTGGCGCTTAATCTAACCACACTGGGTTGTCTGGCTGCATGTGAATGTCCATATTTACACAGCTGCACATCTCACTTTTCTCTTTGAGAAGGCTTAGCACCCCAAGGTGGCAAGATCCCAGCATTTGGAGGAAGAGAGGCAAAGCCCCAGGAGTTTAAGGCCTGCCTAGGATACTAGTGAATTCAAGGCCAGTTTGAACAGTCTGAACTACACAGCAAGACTCATCTCAGAAAACAAAACAAAACAAAAAGTATTTTTACCTTGGCTGATATTTAAATACTCAGGAATCTTTCCTCTCCTAGATTAATGACTTCTCCATTTCCAGCTGTTTTTCCACTGTTTCTAGCTTTCCAAGAAACTATTCTACTTGAACGCAGGCCAAGGCTTCTGGATCAGCTGCCTTGCTCCAGGCTGCATTTCAAATAGGAAACTCACACTTAAATTACTAGCTTTTACCTAGGAATAGGAGTGGGGAAGAAGGTGGGAACAGTGGGAAGTAGGAAGAAATGGTTCTGGCTGAATGAGTGGCTGAATCTCTAAACTCATCATTCTTTTCGTATGACTAGGCTGGATGGCTGTTTCAGCCTGGAAGACCACAGTGGGAACCTATAATTAAAGGGGTATCCAGGATGGGACAAATTGGAAATAATATCTAAAAAGAGAAGCTGAAGAGCTCCCTTGAACTACAGAAAAAAGCAGTGAAAGCAAAAACAGACCTCTCAGTCTTCATACCAATAGTTGCCTATCAAAGGTAAAGGGGCACAGAGGCCTTGTACTGCTGCAAAAGGCAAAACAAGAACTATGGCAGGTCCCAGTTTCAAGGAGACAGGTTCCCTGAGGCAATCTAGGTGAGGGATGGCTATAGCAATGAGAAAAGACTACAGACATGAAAAACTGGGTAGGCAAGGCAGAGTAACTTCTCAGTTTAACTCAACTACTGTGAGTCCGTAAAACACTAAATTATGACAAATGTCTTTGGGGTGAGAAGGTGAAACTACCCTGGGAACAAATAGGTGAAACACACCAACACACCTGGGCTGGACTAGCCTTAACAGGTGTGACAGGCAGTTTTATAAGTTGCCAGTTTATCAGTGCCACCTCCCTTCACCCCAACTCAAACCACCACTCCTTCAACTACTCAGGCATGGCCAGTCTCTCCTTTATGCACTTATCCTACCCACTTCTTACTGAGCAGCACACCTTGAGAAGTGATAGAAAAGCTCCGGTGGGGAAATCACACACCTACACAGGAGGCAAAGGCTGCCAGGTGCCAGAGAACCCAGCTTCCATCAGAATGACAATCTCAAGCCACACCCGGAAAATTGCTGATTCAAACATGTTTACTGAGCTGACACTTGGACTTGGAGATTGGGAAAGAAGTCCCAAACAGACAAGAAACCAGGGGCTCATTTAACCCGAGGAACCAATGCCCTTCTCCAGGGAGGCAAGCTCCACCCCACCCCAAACACAGCAGAAACAGGCAGGGATCAGCTCCATGGTACAAAGAGGGTTAGAAGACTCTGAGTTTCACTACACCATTGAAGAGGAAGGTAGGTTAGAAAGGCAAAGCCATCTCTCCCCCTCCAAGATGCGAGCTGAGGCCTCAAGGAATTCTTCATTTTGCTTCTTCCTTTTGGCCTTTTCCAGGTGGTCATGTCCTTTGAGTGGGAAATGGTGAAGGGAGGGGCACAGGGTCCTGTCAGAAATCCTATAATGAGAAGGATAAAAAGACAGTTCCTGCAACAGACCAAAGACAAACAGAAGACTACATACCCTCAGCTGATTCTAATGTCTATTAACTTGAGAGGCTGCCCAGCAGCATTTCTAAGGACACACAACCCAGCTCCATACTCACCTCTATGTTCAGCTCTGTAGTATCCAATAGGTCCAGTCCGTCTTCACTGAAGGAAGAGTGGCTACTGGGCTGCTAGAAGAAATGAGGTCAAATTAGCAAGGTCTCTCTCTTTATTCCCTCCCAGCAAAACAGCAGCACTGCTCTCAGTGCAGTAATGTAGGACAAGCCCCAGGGGCTGCCCATTAGCCCTTACTTAAGTACTTCCTGTCTCAGCCTGACAACTGAACCTCTTAAATACATGGTTTTAGAGCCAGAGAATGGGACTCTCCAAGGACTTTAGGATAGACTCTGAATAGAGGCCTTGCTTGCTGATCTCTGCTATGAGGATGTCATTGTTTGAATTTTCCTCAGCACAAGGCCTTTTCCTAAGCACAAGGCCTCCATTCTGTTTTATTCTGTTCTTCTCCCACCTCAGAGCAGAGCAGAGAGCAAAAGGATAAAAGACAGTTTGGTTTGGAATTCAGTGTCTGTGTTTCCCTTGAAGCCAGACGTTGAAATCCTAACCCTTAAAGTAAGAGTATTAGGACATGGTACCTTGGGGACGTGATTACATCAGACAATGAATCCCTTATGAATGTAATCAGTCCCTAAGAAGCCAGAGTGCTAGCGTTGTTCTCCATGAGAGCAGGACAGATATATGGCAGAGTGCACAGGCCCATAGAGGGCCCATGCTTACTTGGCCTTAAGGCTTCTCCTTGGACTTCGGCAAATGTCTACTAGTTGTAAGTCACCAACCTTTAGCATTATGTTGTGGCAGCAGGAACTAAGACATATTCCATTGCTGTTCATAAGGTGTTTGTGATAGGTTCGGGCCCTGAATTGCTAAAATCATTGTGGTGGTCATCTAATATGGCTGATGCCCTTAAAACAAGGGCCTATGTTCCCAGGACCACCTCCCCCTTCTTCTCCAACTTAGCCCAGGACATAATTTACTTTCACCCTTCCTGCTGCCTCAGGGAAGAGCCCCAGTTTCCCAGATATATCTAAACATGCCCTTCAAACCCCTCCCCTGGCAAAAGGTCATAAAGGCCTCAGCCTTCCTTTGTCCAGTTCAGAGAATTCCTTGACTTCCCCAAATTCTCTCCGTGTCCTCAAAGAAAATAAAGTCCCTTTCCCTTTTGCCTGTTTCTCTGTTGCGCTGTTCACCTGAAAAACACGTATCAGTTTTTACTTGGTAGTTTGTGTAAAAGCTCCATTGTAAAGATGGGTCAATAAAGAACGAGAAGGGGTAATGAGTTCATCTCATGTGAAACTGAGGACTCACCCAGGCCGCCTCACCCCAAACTCTGTGCCCTCTCCCTACTATACAGGAGCATTCCTCAATGGAAAGCAAGGAGCCAAGGAAGAAAGGGGTAGGGACAAACAGCTGTCTTAGGAGAGAGAAGGGAAGAGGGGTGTCGTTGTGTTGGGGAACTACATGAAAGTCCTGAGAGGGGGATTGGGACCTTCCAGGCCTGGCTCCAGGGCCCTTTCCAATTTAAATGAGGTTCAGAAGCACCAATACTTACTTGGTTGGGAAGGGAGTTTTTACAATCCTTTCTGGTAATTTAAATTTATTTTCCGTATTTTAAAAGGAAAGTCCACAACAACCTTTCCTCTTCTACAATTCTTTCAAAAGGTCTTTAGTAATCTTCAAATCCAAGGGCATCACTAGGGCTGAGAGAATTCCTGTGCTTCTGCCACCTACCAGCTGCCAGCTCTAGAGTGAAAAGGGAATCCTGGATCCACACACCTTCTTTGTATCCTGCCATTCTTCACTTGACTCATCCAAACTTTCTATCTCTTCTTCATCCTCTTCCATAAGGCTGAGTCTACAGATAATAACAAAGAGTAGATGTTTCCAAACTATTCTTAAGGATTCCTGAGAGTTTCTCAGAGGTACCAGGAAAGAGAGGTGGGTAGGAAGTAGAGCAGAAATTAAGTTCTAGGTTCCCATTCCTGCCTCTCTGCATTCTAGGGCTTCAGATTACACTGGAAAGAAGTGTTCTGGGACTATTAGTCCATAAATCAGGCTGGAAGTGAAACACTGGGTCAGGTGACAACTGCCTCAGGAGAGTGACAGGTGGGAAGTGAAGACAGAGATGATGAAAAAAAGCTCACCGGGTCAGCTTCTTGTCTAGACCAGTCCCTGAAGGTTTGCATGGAGTCTGGAAATACTGTGCACCTGAGAACCTTGGCCCCTGGGTACCTGAGAAGAGCTGACTGTTGAGAAAAAAAAGCAGGATCAGTGACAAGGAATAAAACAGTAAAAGATAAAAAAAAAGAGGCATTAAGGTGAGAAAAGCTCAGTATAAGGCGAGAGAGACAGTGGAAAGAAAAAAAAGTACTAGAGAAGAAAATAGGTAAGTGTTAAGAGAAAGCACTGGAAGAAGTGGGTGTGCCTAAGGAAAATGAAGAGAACCATCTAACTTAGGACCAGTCTCCCCTCAACCTAACCTGTGAGTGAACTCTGATTCTAGGCCATCTTCTTCTTCTTCTTCGGCTTCTCCCAGCACCCCAAGGGGCTGCTTGTTCTTCACAGCAGTGGAGGTGAGGGTAGGTGTTGGTGGGACACTACTGAGCTGCAGGCTTTCTTCCTGATCTGCTCTCTGATGCTTGCTGGGGCCTGCAAGGAAGCAGATGTACATGGAAGATGGACTAGGGACCTGCCAACTCTTTAATTTTTAAGACCAGGCCAGGATTTAGTAAGGAAAGGTTAAGCAAAAGAGAACAGAAATTTATATACCATCATTCTGTTCTATCTCAAAAATGAACAGAGTTCTACTGAATGTTCAGTCCCATGTACTACGGTATAAGGCTTGCAGAATTGTATCTGGACCTTGTCCAAGAACAACTCACTACACAGTTTTACAAGACAGGGATACTGAAGTATCCATTTCACAGACAAACTAACAATCAAAGATGAATGTAGAGAGGGTTGAATTCACTAAGATGGAAAGGTCTGTCTCAAGCAAAGACCACATCTGAGATCCTATCAATTCTAGAGTTCTGTGGTTAGAAAATGCTTTAAAATACCAACAGTTTGGGATCTATAGGTTATAGTGGATGCATGAGGTATAGAGAGGAACAGAAAAATGGAAGACAGAATTTTCTAAAAGCCCCCCCCCCCAAAAAAAGTGAGTTGTAATGTCATTATAGTTCCAGTGGGAAGGCTGAGTGGGGAACCTGTTGTCCTCTGCAGATTGGAAAAGGCAGGGGTAGACAATTCCAAAGGTTATTACCTGAGGTTCTCTCCCTGAGAAAGCCCAGATAATGCCTAATTTTAATGTAAAAGTCAAGTGGATTGACATTTATCAATGTTAAATATCCATGGCCCCATGACCCTCCTTCTCCCAGGTATGTTTACAATAGAAGCCAACAACCTAAAAGTCATGACTAATTCATTTGAAGGGCTACAGAAAATGGGGAGCTGCACCCATGAGATTGTATATAGAGAGGATATCTTGGGCCTTCTCATGGATCCTCTTAACCTGCTTTATTAATGATGTAAGGGACGTGTCCTCCACCTTCACTGACTTCCCTGACCTTCAGGTTTATGCCTGTAAATATGACCTATATTCTGCCAACTCCCAGCCTTTTGTCTTTTCCTTAAGTCTGGCTTCTGATTCTCAGTTGTAATATCAAAGCCCTGGCCTTACCCTATGACCTATTCCACTCACAGCCTCCCCAGTTCAGACATCAACTTCACTCATATAAGTTCTTGGGAGTCTGCCTCCTCTGTCTTACAACCAATCTCCAATTTGTCGAGGAATTCTATTAGACACCTCAAAAATGTATCTGAAACCTAGCCAGCCACTCCTCCCCACCTCCCCACCATCCCTGTGTGCACTCTGATCTGGTGTCAGGGCTCCTCCACCAGCATCTTCACTGGCCTTCTGGCTCCTGTCCTTGCCCTTCTATGTCAGTTTTCAGCATGGCAGTCAGAGGGATCCTTGGTAGACATATGCAGATACTATGACTCCTCTGCTTAAAATCTTCTGATGGTTTTTCTGCTGCACTAAGAAAAGCCTGAGTCTTTACTGTGGCTGAAATATTCCAAGTTCCTGTGACCTCTTTGGTCTCACATTTTAAAAAAAATCTATTTAGTACAGGGTCTACAGGGTCTTATTATGTAGATCAGACTTGTAGTGATCCTCTTGTTTCCATCCTCCAAAATATTGGGATTACAGGCATACGCCACCATGCCCAGTCTCAGCATGCCCCGGGGGTGGGGCTGGCATGGCTTGCGGTGCTGGAGATTGAACCTGAGTCCCTGTGTCTGCCTAAGCAAGCACTTTAATCTGCTGAGCTATATGGCTGGCCCTTGGTTTCACATTCTTATACTCTACACTCCAGCCATAGTAGTCTCCTTTGTTATTCTGGAGCATTTCTACTCATGGTTTTAGGATTGGCTGCTCCCCTCTGTTCTGATCAGCACCAGGCACCCTCCACCAGATCTCTTTTACAAACAGTAAGTTAGGAGGCCATTAGACTAGGATGGCTCCAGTACTTTGGATTTCTTTCTTTCTTTTTTTTTGGAACTGGGGATTGAACTCAGGCCCTTGCACTTGCCAGGCAAGCGCTTATTCCACTGAGCTATCTCCTCGGCCCCTGGGTTTCATTTTTTTGTACTGGGAATCAAGCTTAGGACCTTGTGCTTGCTGGGCAAGCACTTGTCCACTGAGCTATATCCCCAACTTTGGGTTTCTTCTTAAGCAATCTCAAACCCAATTCAGAGTAAATGTACATAGTTTTAAGTTACTGACTCAGAAACCATTATTTAACCTCTGAACAGACTTTCTATTTAGCCAACCCAGTATCTTTGCTTTACTTCTGCAAACACCTTATAAAAGTCTCTAAGTTTTGTTTGGTGCTTCCTAATAAATAAGTCACTTAAATTTGTATGTGCCTAAATTCACCTTCTGATACCTCCTTCAGGTTTTAACATTCACACTCTCAAGCCTTTGCTGTCCCCTATCACTCTTCATAACACTGCAACCCTTTGCCCCAGAACTCTTTTTCTCCTCCCTGCTTTATATTTATCACTACCTGACACTTTGAGGAAGATTTGATTTTTTTTTTTTTTTTTTTTTTTGCAGAACTGGGGATTGAACTCAGACCCTTGCACTTGCCAGGCAAGCGCTTATTCTACTGAGCCATTTCCCGGCCCTGAGGAAGATTTTTTTTTTTT